TAAAGTCTAGGAAACAATGATTTGAGGGGAACATCACCCAACCATACATCATTCCAAAACTGCACATCTTCCCCTTTCCCCCCTTCCGCAATCGCATATTCCTTTTAAGACATTCTCCAAAATCATCACTATTGAAAAAGTTTTTCACCACACTTTCAAATCCAAATCCAGATGCACGAGCTGGCACCGAATTCTCCAAAATAATAGATTTGGGATCCAAATTGTAGGCGGCACAAACTTTCTTCCACCAAGAATTCTTTCAGAAGTAAACTCCAAACCCATTTTCCTAATAAAGCTCGGTTCAAAAGTGCTAGATTAGGGACCCTAGCCCCCCATAAATCTTGGTTTAGAGATCGACTTCCAATTGACCCAATGGATTTTCTTCTTATCAATCGTATCCCCCCAGAAATGAAGCCATAATAGAGTTAAGTTTGAGTATCACCGTAGCTGGGATTCTGAACATAGACATAAAATAGACCGGAAGAGAGCATAGTACCGATTTGACCAAAACCACTCTTCCCGCTACCGATAGAGAATTAGCTATCCAACCAGTCAATTTAGCGTTAAATCTCGCCACTATCGGATCCCACATAGCAGTCGAATTCCTCTTGTACCCCAGAGGCAGACCTAAATATTCAGATGGAAGATATCCAACCGAGCAGCCAATAACTTCAGCCCAATTAGTTAGCTCCCCTTCTTCAACATGATTCCAAAAATCCTGCTTTTACCTAGATTTAACTTCAGCCCCACCAGAAGTTCATAAATCAGTAACACTCTTCTAATATTCCTCAACTCACGAATGGAACCTTTGCTGAAAATTATAAGATCATCCGCAAATTGAAGGTGTGACAACTTGAATGCTCGGTCCTGCAGTCCTAACTCGAACCCCGAAAACAATCCCATATCTACTGCTTTAGATAACAGTAAATGCAACAATTCCGTAGCCAAATTGAAAAGCATAGGTGAAAGTGAACAGCCCTGTCTTAAACCTCTGGCTATATGAAATTTCTCCGTTGGCGATCCATTTAACAAGACCGAAATCTCAGCAGTTGAAATGCACTGGAACATCCACGACCTCCACTTTTCTCCAAACCCCATTTTACTCATAATCTGAATCAAAATTTTCCAATCTACCGAATCATAAGCTCTCATAAATCCACCTTGAAAACTACTCCCTTCAGCCCTCTTCCTCCAAAAATCAATACTCTCATTTGCAATGAAAGAGCAATCCAAGATATTCCTCCCCGGAATAAAAGCGAATTGGGACTGACTTATAATATCGTTGAGATACAAACTCAATCTTCTAGCTAAGACCTTAGAGATGACTTTATAAAGCCCTCCCACTAGGCTAATTGGCCTAACTCTTCCAATCCCTCCGGATTTGCCTTCTTTGGAATAAGAGAAATGAAGGAGAAGTTAACCTCCGGCTCCCAAACCTTTCCCACGTAGAAATCCCTAAAAAACCTCATCATATCATCCTTCAAATTAGGCCAGAACTTCTTAAAAAATCCTAGGTTTAGACCATCCGGACCCGGAGCTTTGTTGATATCTGAATGAGAAATAGCTTCCCAAACTTCCTCTTCAGAAAAAGGCTTCTCCAAGGCTAAACGCTGACCTTCGGACAACTTGAGAAAATCCAGATTTAATTCCTCTGCCTCCAGGGTGTTTGTTTGATTACAACCCCTTGAAAAACTCCACCACTGAAGCTTTTACTGACCTTGGGTCTTCAACAATTTCACCATCAACTTTGATAGCTTTTATGTAGTTTATCCTCCCTCTAATTGCTGCACTCTGATGGAAAAACCTTGTGTTCTTATCTCCCTCCAATCTCCATTTCAATCTAGACTTTTGCATCCAAATTGATTCTTCCTTTTTTTGTAACTCCCATAATTCTCTCTTTGCTTCAACAATAGAATTCATTGACACCAAAGAAGACCCTTGTTGCAATTTTAATTCCATATCCTGTATCTCAGTCTCCAAGGTTCTGATTCTGCTTGGTAATTGGAGAAAACCCTTACCAGCCCAATTTATTGCAACATCCTTCACCCGGCTAAGAGTTTTGGAAATGGGTCTCGAGTTTTCCTGTGTACCCCGATTGAACAGTTCTTTTGTCAACAGTTCACTAAACCCTTCCTCCTCCAACATATAATTAAACAATCTAAACGGCTTGGCCCCAATTGCACTCCCTATTCTCCAGCAGAATGATATTGTGATCAGAAATGGACCTAGGCTGCAGATTTGATTGATCATTGGGAATTGCGAGAAAAAACTATGATCAACTAAAAACCGATCCAATCTCTCAAAGGTGGGAACTTCCCTGTTATTACACCACGTGAACTGACCTCCCACTAAGGGTAAATCGATTAGATTGCCTTAGATACAAAATCTCGAAAAATATTCATCAACGTCAAATTCACATCACCACCCCTTTTCTCTTCCTTCGTCAAAAAGGCATTAAAATCCCCACCTAAACAAACTGGGCAGTCCACCTGTTCCAGAAAGGAGAGTAATTCCCTGAAAAATGGCTCTTTATCAGCCTCCACACTTGGACCATAAACATTTATGAAAAACAATGGTTTGTCATACCATCCAACCAACCCTTTAACGCCACAAATCTAGTTCGGATGACCGTATCCTTCACCACAAATACCTTCTGATTCCACATTGTTATTAGGCCACCAGCAGAACCTACAGCAGGCACAACTGCCCACCCATTAAGGATTTTGCCTCCCATTTTCCTACCTAACATAGTGCTAACAATTCCAATTTGGATTCTTGCAAAAATAAGATAGTTGGTTTTTTCTCCTCTACAAATCTCCTAATGGCACGTGCTTTAACCTTCCTACCCAGACCCCTAACATTCCAACACTAATGGACCATTCTACCATCAAAAGCATTTTATGACCATACCCCTAAACCAACTACCACCCTCAATTATCTCTATCCTTCACCAAAGGGACAACTTTGGTCAGGAATTCCTTTTCTCCGCCTTTAAACTTTACCCCCAATAAATTGGCTACTGTCCAGCACTCCATTGCTTCTGTCCTCCTCTGATTCTTTTCTCCTGCTCCAATACCATCATCCATACCATCACAACTTTTGGCAGCCCTCCTCCTAGCATAAACTTTATTCTGATATCCTCTCTCGACATTATTACCCGATACACTCCCCCCCAAAGGTCTTCGCATTGATAGCGGCACAACCCCATTCTGCATACCATATCCAACTGTGTATCTGAAATTGAAGGCTCAGACTTCTTACCATTCTTCTTTGGTGATGAACTAAACTGTCAGGCCCAAATACTTCCCTCCTTCCCATGTTGTAAATAAGCCCATCCTCTTGAACAACTTTATCTTTCCCCGAGGAGTCTCCTTGCAAGCTGGCCACCTTTTTACCCCATCAGAAAAAGTCCCTGACACAGTCTGCTTGCTGCAACCTTCTCCTAGTACTGTCCCCTCGATACAAAGGTCAACCTTTGAACTTTCCTCGGCTTCAGCGCAATTTTTCAAACTCCCCTCGTTCATTGGTCCACCTCCCTTTGAAGAATCTCGGACCCACTCTTCAACCCTGCTTCTAGAGTCTGACATCTGCTGAGAATTAACCTGCCCTTGCAGACCACCTCGATTCTCCCCTTTGCTCCCCTCGGACGAATCCCTCTCCCAAGGAATCACTGTTCCTCCTTGAGAACCATCTTCATCGACCTTTCATCATCTTCCCCTTCCTCAAGCTCAGGGAAGAAATCATCACTGCTTTCTACCTTAATCTTGATAGTAAAGGACCTTCCAAGTGTATTAAAATGACATATGGAGGGATGTCAAACGGACTTTCAACTCTTAATAACATCTGAGCCACCCTGCAGTCGACTCTTTGAGCTGTCTGTTCTTGAATCTTCACTAATTTGCCCCATCTCGATGCCAAACTAGTAAAAAAGAAACTGACCAGCAGTTTAATGGAACGCCCGTCATGGATACTGAGCAGTAAGGTAATGGAACACCCTTCTCTTCGATCACCGGCTCCAACCTTTCAAACCAAAAGGACAAAACTTCCCATTTATCTTCTATAGCTGCTTCCTTCTCCTCCACCGACCGGAAAACTACCAAACATGCATTTCTCGCATAACCCCATCTAACTACCTTAACATTGATTCCCTCTGTTCTCAATGCCCTTTGCACAAACTCAACCTCAAATATCCTTTAACGATGCCTGTTAATGAAGTCCTCAGCCATGCTCTTTCCTCCAAAGGAATGAAGAAATCCATGTCGTTCTTCTCCTCTCTCCTGTCCCCAAGGTTTCTGGATTGCTGACCCTCATCTTTTTTCACACCTACTACCGTATCCTTATATGTTCTGCCATCCTGGAACCTGTTCATCATCTCCTTCTTCCTGGCCTCAACCACTCGGCTAGCTGCATGTGGCCTTTTCGTAACCTCGACACCTGCACCTCCAGCCTCCACTACTCTATTGCGATTCACGTTCCTCGGACCACTACTCCTCCTATATTTCGCAAAAGATACTAATATCCTCCTCCCATCAACAAGGGCGTTGTTCATCTTCTCCTTCGCAGCAATCAAATCCTCCTTACTCGCAAAATGCACAAAAGCAAACGTCTTGTTCTTGTAGTTGGGTCTGCTATTAACAAACGGTATAAAAACTTTAATCACCTTACCAAAACGGCTAAAACGATCCCACAATACCCTCCTATGCACTCGCCTACTAAGATTATCAACGAAAGCAACCCACGATCCTCCTACAGCTCCTAAAGCAGACATTTTGGATAATATCTCTAACTTAATTGTTCAGATCATCCAAAGTAGGCTGAAACTGTTTAGCTCATCAAAGGGAAACTGAAACCTTTGGACTCCTTAGACTATGAATTGCTTGTTGACCTTGTTAAAATTATGTTGTTTATATTTCTGCCATGTCTCTGTACTGTGTGGTTCGAGACTAAAAGATTTTTTTATCATCCTTGATTTATGACATCATTTTATATTTCTTTAACAGTTTATCTTGTTGATGAGGGCACCGAATGCAATTCTACATCTGATTTATTACTGGAACGCAACCGTGAACAGAGTTTAGTTGATCTTTTGATTCCTTCGCTTGTATTGCTGATCACACTTTTGCAGAGATTACAGGTTTGTTGCTTATTAGTTATACTGTGTCCTTATGAATCAACTTTTTGATTTGATAAGGAAGCTAAATTTCTTCCTACAAAAATCATCATGAGGCATTTTGTGGGTTTATGGGGAGATTGAAGATGTTTTGTACCGACATTGTTTAGTTTGAATAGTTTCTAGTGAAGGAGGATAGAGTTGATGCTTTCAGCCAGTTTTGCAAAAGATTGCTATATTTATGTTGTTTTAGCGTTAACTCTTCCTTCTAATTGAGAAAAGACTTGGGGCATTAGTTGTGAAGTTCATGAAATACCAATGCTCCTAAGATCTGACTCTTTGCACCCAGTTAATGGTTTACTTATATTTGCGCATTGTAAACTTGTCAATTTGTATCACCTTCCAAATTTGAGAATTAAGTTGTCTTATCCTCTACATATAGGAAACAAAGGAACATTTAATGGTTTACTGCATTTTTCGTGCTCCGTTAACCTTTTTATCAGTTTACACCATCTTCCAAATTTGAGAATTGAGTTGTCTTATCCTCTACATATAGGAAGCTAAAGAACAACACAAGAATACAAAACTGATGAATGCATTGTTACGATTGCATCGAGAAGTAAGGTAATTAATATTTCACTGTCCCCAATATGAACATTTTTCATACCATGCTCATTTCTGGAGATAGGCACTAAGCATATTGCTGTCTTGCAGTCCAAAGCTTGCAGCTTGTGCAGCTGATTTGTCCTCTCCCTATCCTGCTTCTGCACTTGGTTTTGAAGCGGTCTGCCATCTTGCTGTGTCAGCTCTTGCTTATTGGCCTGTATATGGTTGGAGTCCTGGCCTCTTCAATACAATTCTTGCCAGTGTTCAAACTACTTCGTCACTGGCCTTGGGTCCGAAAGAGATCTGCAGTTTACTTTGTCTTTTGGTATTTCAGTTTTCCTTTTCTTTAATGCTAGTAGCAACCTGGTATCCTTATTCATATCAAGAAATATTTACGTAGTTAATGTTTTCTTGTTGCATATATCTTACCTACAATGGTAATTATTAAGGAACTTGTTTTGTTTCATCAGGATTGCTTGTTTTCCTTTACCTTTTGTTTTTCTATATGACAATCTGGAAAACAATGAATCCCAAATTCACATCCTGTACTTACACTGTTTGCTTCTTTTTCCAATAGCATTTATTTTATTTGAAATGGAAGACCCTTCTCTCAACTTAGGACATGTTATTGCTCAAATGGGGATTTCCTTTAATTGCAGCATTAACCAGTTTCTTTTGCCTTTTATATTGCAAGAATGATTTATTTCCTGAAGAAAGTGTCTGGTGTTGGAAGAATGGGATGCCGTTGTTGAGTGCCCTTAGGTCATTGGCTATAGGGACTCTATTGGGACCTCATAAGGAGAGACAGGTTGATTGGTATCTAGAGTGTGGTCACCTTGAGAAGTTGTTCAACCAATTGACACCACAGCTTGACAAAATTGCCCAGATTATCCAACATTACGCCATAACTGTGTGTGCTCTTTCATCTACATGCTACTTTAGTTTTCTTATCATCTGAAATCTCTGGGTTTGCAGGAATGTAGAAAGGGTGGCGGCAGGCTAGCTATATTATTTTGATAAACTTGCTTTGTATCATCTCCTTCTATTAATATATTACTTTTAAGCAGGCATTGGTAGTCATACAAGACATGCTTCGAGTTTTTATAATTCGCATTGCTTGCCAAAAGGCTGAACAGGCTTCTAAACTTCTGCGGCCTATATTATCATGGATACATGATCACACTTCTGACTTATCTTCTTTATCAGACATGGATGCTTTTAAGGTGATAACTGTTAATATTTTTGCCCAAATTTTCAATTTTGTGGTTGTTTAGACTGGTATGCTAAATGGTTTCCATTTTTCCCCTCTCCAGGTTTATAGATTCCTTGATTTTCTCTCCGGCTTACTGGAACATCCGTATGCCAAGGTTTTACAGTCTATGGATTCCTTACCCCCTGCCCCTCTTCCCCTACATTTTGCAGTTTATTTTACTCATGCTGCTTTCTGCATCAGGTGCTGTTGCTTGGTGAGGGTTTTCCTCAAATACTAACAAGAGTTCTGGAGAGTTGTTTTGATGTTACTGATTCAGATCAGAGGCAGGTTTCAGATTGTAGAGATTCTACTAAATATGGGTTTGCTTTGATTAGTTTGTGCATCCCTGTTTTTCAGTCTATCTCACTACTATTAGTTCTCAAACATTTCCACAGTATGATGAGAGACATGATATGTGAGTTGGTTACTTGCTTTGACATTCTCTCCCTCTCTCCTTGATGATTGATTTGGAATGCAATTGCACATGATGTTTACTGCTTAATGATGTTTTCACTTACGTTCATTGTTGTGTACTAGGCACAAATTTGGAAGTTTGAGCTCCAAAGATTGTTCGGTATTTATTAATCTACTATTGAAGTTTTGCAAGGTAACTGGAAGACATAAAAATATTTAGATAGACTTATCATTTTCTTATGGAGAACAAGAAACGGGATAGGTTCACAATATAGCTAATCTTGTAATTGAAATGCCATTTTGTTTCTCAGGTCCTACCAGTCGGAAGAGAATTAGTGTCTTGCCTTACAGCTTTTAAAGACATGGGTTCTTGCTCTGAAGGGCGCAGTGCATTGCTGTCTGCTTTGCTATATAGCAGCAGTTCTACTCACGAGGAACTTGAATCAGAGAGAGGAAATGAAAAGAATGTAAATTTTCATTTTCTTAATGAATCTGAATGGAGAAAGTCTCCCCCCTTGCTATGTTGCTGGATAAAGTTATTAAGATCGATTGATTCAAAAGATTATTTATCACCTTATACACTTGAAGCTGCTGATGCGTTGTCTTTAGGTACTTTGGGCTTTAGCATGAGTGGGAATAGGTGAGATGCGCACATCTATCACCAATCTCTTTCATAATATTGCTGCACTTCTATTCTTCCAGTAGATTAGAAGATACTGCTTAATATTTTTTGTTGGCAGGACTTATCTTCTCATTGTTATAGACCATAATAACATAATCTTATGCTCAAGTATGTTTTTGAGGAAGATGGTATGTATTTGTTTTCAAGAATAGTGGTTTCCTTTTATTTTCATAGAAAATAGAGAACTCTTGCAAAAAATCTTTTTGCGATTAAAAGAGACGAGTTTTAGAAAGTTCAGCTCCAGTTATGACAGAAAATTGAGAATGATTCAAACATGTTTCACTATTTTCTATAGAGAAAGCAAAACACTGTATTCTTTCTCATCAAATGCTTGTAGTGGGATTGGAAAAAAGGAACAAGGCATTTTTGGAACCAAAACAAGGAAAGCTGAAATCATTTCGAAGCCCAAATGCAACCTAGCTTTCTCTTGTTATATGCACAAAGGCTTTGTAATATGTTAATCTTGATTCATGCTTGGTTCCTGTAATGTCTCCACATTAGTTTCTTTGCTCATCTGTGCATTGGAAGACTATTTGTGGCTAACTTATGGTGTGCTCTTGTAATAGTTTGAACATGAATGCTGTTGTAGCATTGAAATTCCTTTTTGGGCTTCCTGATGATATGGCCGAGGTAGGTGGCTTTCCTGAAGACAACATAAAATATATCCAGGAATTTTCTTCTCTGTTAAGCTCAAGAATTGCTAATGATGATGAATATCAAACTTCATCCGATATGCATATCACCATGTGTCAGGTATAACTAAGTGTAATTGCATCCTTGTTTCCCTGATTTGTTTATCCAACTTTTAACTTATCATTGATGTACAGGTTTTGGAATCTGTGAAATCATTGTTGTTATTGTTCCAAAATTCAACTGCTACTGTTAAAGTGGATGGTACCAGCCTCTATGAAAGTATTTCTTTTCCTCAAAACAATGTTCAAGTCCTTTTAGGAATTCATCACTTTGGACTAGGACTCAACGAAAAGGCTGATGACAGCCTTTACTTGGGAGGATTTGAAGATAAGTTTTCATGGGAATTGCCTGAAACATTACCTGGAAGATTGTTGCAGACAGCTCTTCCTACAAGAAGGAAACTGCAACCAGCTGACAGCTCAAATAGGAGTGGGAGAGGAGACAACTCAGTGGCTGAGATAACAAATCCAGCTGCTTTTCAACGGGGACTGGGTCCAACTACAGCCTCTTCTGGTCCTACTCGAAGGGATAGCTTTCGACAGAGGAAACCTAATACTAGCAGGCCTCCATCTATGCATGTGGATGATTATGTTGCGAGAGAAAGGAGCGTTGATGGTGTTGCTAATTCTAATGTAATAGCTGTTCAGCGAGTAGGATCTTCTGGAGGGAGACCACCTTCTATTCATGTGGATGAATTTATGGCTAGACAGAGGGAGCGTCAAAATCCTGTTGCATCAGGGGCAGAGACCGCAGCACAATCTAAGAATTCAGCTCCTATAAATGGCCCAGATAATGAAAAAGTAAACAAGTCTAAGCAGCTGAAATCTGATCTGGATGACGATCTTCAAGGAATTGATATAGTGTTTGATGGTGAGGAATCTGAAACTGATGATAAATTACCCTTTCCCCAGCCAGATGATAATCTGCAGCAGCCTGCTCCTGTAATCTTTAAGCAAAGTTCACCACAGTCTGTTGTTGAAGAGACTGAAAGTGATGTTAATGGAAATAGTCAATTTTCTCACTTGGGTGCACCTTTAGCATCTAATGCCGATGAGAATGCCCAGAGTGAGTTTTCTTCAAGGATGTCAGTTTCACGCGCTGAAATGTTTTTAACTCGAGAACCTAGTGTTTCTTCAGATAAGAAATATTTTGAGCAATCTGATGAGTCGAAGAATGCTGGTTCATTTAAGAACTCTAGCGGGTTTGATTCTGCAGCTGGGGCAAATAGTTCAGGCTTCTCTGCCCCAGTTTATAGTAATGCACCTGCAATATCAGTGCAGTTGCCTGCAGATTCAAGGATATCTCCACAAAATTTCTATCCGAAGAGCAATGCACAGTATGGTAGTAATATTTCTGTGGCTTCTGGATCTCGAGGATTATATGAGCAGAAAGTTCTGCCAAATCTACCACCTTTACCTCAAATTCCGCCTCCACCAACAATTTTGCCAGTAAGTTCTCTAACTAGTAGTGATCCTTTATAAGTTTCCAGCCTGACATTTTCTGTTCACCTCTTTCAGTTGATTGTAGCCCGCACATTTTAAATTTTCAAACTTTCTTTCTTGCAGGTTCAATCCGATTATTTGTCTTCAGTTAGTGTCACTCCTCTGATGCAATCTTCTCTTCCCATGTCAGATTCTAAGTTTATGAGAACCTCTATGCCTTCACCCAGTGGAACTACTAGGCCTCCACCACTTCCTTCAACACCTCCTCCATTTGCATCTAGCCCATATAATTTAGCTTCCTTAAATACTTCCCAACCAGCACTCTACAACCAGTCTGGAATGGGGAAAACTGAACTTCCTCAGGGCTCTGTTGGACCTAGCATTGATGCTCGACTTCCTACTTCAGCTGCTGGCTTGGCTTCTTATCCATCTCCACCATTGATGCAATCATTAGGTTTTAATAGGCCTCCTTCAATCCCTGTTACACCTTATGTAAACTCTCCTGGAATGCAGCAGGGTGAGAACCACCCTCCTAGCATCTTGCAGAACCCCTCAATACCCCAGTCATCTATTCAGTCAATGCATTCTCTTGCTCAATTGCAGAAGCTTCAACGTCCGTTGCAGCCAACTCAACATCTCCGGCCATCCATGCATTCACCACAGCAGTTGGAGCAAGGAGTGTCTTCACAAACCCCTGTTCAGATGCAAATGCAGTCATTACAGATGCTGCAACAAGCTCATGTTACTCCTGTTAATCCTTATTATCAACCTCCACAGCCTGAGTTTTCAGCAGCACAACACCAGCTGCAAGTTGAGCTTGCGCAACAACAAGCTCCACCGCAAGCTGGTGGTATTTCAAATCAGCAGCAAGATTCTGGATTGTCCTTACATGAGTACTTCCAGTCTCCTGAAGCCATTGAGGTACATATCGTGCAAGTATAACCCCATGAAGAGGGAATGCATCTTCTTGATATTTCTCTATAATAATTTTATCTTTGCTCTTCCCGAATGCAGTCTTTGTTAAGGGATCGAGAAAAACTTTGCCAGCTATTGGAGCAGCACCCAAAGTTAATGCAGATGCTTCAGGTTTGTCTCTAATCAGATTTCATAGTTGAGTAACACTGATGGACACGCAGGAAGCCAAGTTTCTATTTCTTAACTTGCTCTATCCAGGGCCTTTCCTCTTGTTAATATCATGTAGCCTGCAGACATGTCAAAGCTACATTGATGCTCATATACATTACTTCAGATGCGAGTGTTGGATACATCCGACATGAGTTCTCTCAAACTTTTCCATGTATTTCGAGGGTTCTTGGATGTTCATATTGCTATTCTCATATCTGCATATCTTAGGGACGAGTACCTCTAGAAGAAACGAAGTCGGAATAACATAGCTATGACATGCCTAAATATTACTTGGCCATAATATTCTAAACGATGCTGCTTCTCATGTTCTGTTACAGGAAAAATTAGGTCAGCTGTAACATGACATGTGGCTGTAAGGATGCTTCTTTCTGATGCAACATGATTTGGATTTGTAATCATTGATCCGAGTTTACCAATTACAAATCTCAAGCATCAGCTCCTGGTCGCTGTTCTTCAAATGCATTTGTCTGTTTAAGCCTGTTATTTTGTCAGTTGGACCATATGTACATTCTTTTCCGTTTATGATCACAATTTGCATATTTTTTTAATTGTTTTACAACTTTTATTGATGAGTTAGGGAAAAATTTCCATGCCTAGTTAGGTCCTTGTATGACTAGCCGACATGACGGTTTAACTGTGTATATATGCTTTATTGTCTGTTGTACTACATAAATAGACTTGTGTTCTGCTTTCACTTGAAAAACTGGATATTTGTTCAATATGAAAATAAAAAAATGTTATATTTTTAAAATTTATTTAAAAGTCTCGATTGAAAGAACATAAAATTTAGCTTAATGATAAAATTTGTTTAGTATCATGGGAAAATATTTAAACCCCTTGAGGTTTGACAAATTCTACCATGATTTGGAACCTTTGAAGTTTGATAAGTGTGCTGGTACCTACGGTTATTTACTAAATGAATTATAAAAAACAAGATGAATTTATCGAATATTGAGAATTATGTAATATTATAGGTTGTAATTGGAATTTTCACTAAATATGTGAGAATATGGTATCATTTTCGGTTGGAACCGAAAGTTTTATGTTGTCTATATTAAAGTATATAAATCAGATAAATTTTTAGGTTTGAACATAAAAATATATCATTGGTGTATTTTATACAGTTGAGAAATTAATGTAATATTATAGGCTGTAATCAGGATTCTTATTATATATCTAATTTTTTAGAATCAACATGGTAACATTTTGAGTTGGAAATTGATAACTTATCTGTTCCAAGTTCTCATTTTTTTTCATCCAATTGTATATTTTTTTTACCGAAAATCTCATCCAATGACTCAAATTCAGCAGTGTTTTGTAGTCTTATTTTCATTTTTATTTTATACTTGCTCATGTTAAATCAGACAATATTAAAAGATGTGTCAATGTTTCTATCAAATTTATTTTCCAAAAGTATATTTTTAAAAATTGGAAAATGGCTTTAATATTGTTTTTAATTTCCCCCCAAGTAGTCTATTCCATTGATTATTTCCTATATTAGGTTGTTTACTACAGTAATTTTAGAAGACACATAGTATTTAATGTGATTTGGAGAAGACTTCAAGATTGTTGCATGTCTTCACCATTATTTTTTTGCTCTACAAAGCTAAAGACACATAACAATCCATGCGTCTTCCACCGTAAAAACTGAAGCCGCATGGTAATCATAACATCTTTTCATTAACACCGTAACAATTACCCTAATTCAAGAAATAATATGGTGGATGTCTTAATGGGAAAATCATTTTTCCCACTATCCTATATGGACGAAGAATCCTTTTAAATCTTGAAATAAATGAAAATAAGTAAGACAATATAATTGCATTGTTGATATAATGCAATAGTAATTATCTAAAAGTAGAAACTAATTATATGTCTTAAATCAACGTTTACTTGCCTGCTTACGTTCAAGTGCCTATTAGTATACATTGGGTATGAATTGGGTGAGTCGACATCTAAAATATGGCTAAAAAAGAACATGATTGGTTCTATCATATAACAATTATTAATCTAAAATGTTATATATATTAGTAACATTTTCTGTTACAATATAAAATGTTATTTAAATTTTTAAGTTGGTTCTAACTTAATATTTTACAAGTATCAGACTTTTTATATGAGTTTCGATACCTATAATTTCCAACTAAAAATATTACCTTTTTACCTATTTTGTTATGATATATGGTTAAAATATTATCCTTTTTACATATTTTGTTATGATATATGTAACGTTTTCAACCTAAAATGTAATCACTATATATAACATTTTAGGTTTGCTTCATAAGTATAGAAACTTATTCTCTGAGGTTTAATACTTATCATTTTCAACCTAAAGTGTTATCAATATATATAATATTTGAGGTTTACTTGATAAGCATCGAAACATTTTTTAAAAAATACTATTAAGACGCTACACTTTAGACTCACCCGTATGAATTTGATAGTATAATATGGAATCAAAATGCAATAAGTATCCAACCCCAACATTAGAATATTGTTTTAAAAATATACAACTGTTCTAGAAAAGATCTTCTAAAGAAAATAATATTTCCTTTTACTATTAAGGTCACTCAATAGCATTGTTTTGAAAATCGGACCGGACCGGTCGGTTCAACCGAGAACCGTTGTCTAGTCGGGTTCAATCTACACCGGTTGAACCGCTACTGGTGAACCGGTCAGAACCGCTGAACCGTTCGAACCGGACCGGCTGAAAACCGGAAAAAACCGAAAATTTTGTTTTTGTTTTAAAAAAAATTAAACCAAATGACGTCGTTTGTTAAACGAGCCAAGTCGAACTCGAGTATTGCTGAGCTCGACTCGAACTTGAAAACTTTAAAAGTAAGCTCAACTCGACTCAAACTCACGAACTAAAAATTATCAAGTTCAACTCAAACTCGAAATATAATATTGAAACTTGAACTCAAAAAGGCTTGAACTCAAAAAAAATTTAGAAGCTCGATTGAAGCCTAAAATTCGAGCTTGATTGAAGTGAAAGAATAGTTCACTCAATGCTCACCAAAATGCTCCATGATTTTGAATGTCAAATTACCTCTATTATTTATAGAAGTTAGTTGTGATGCTCTTCTATGTTTCTTAGCCATGTAGGATTATTTTGTTCTCATATTTTTACTCCTTGGACTTTTGGATGCTCTTCTATGTTTCTTAGCAATGTGAGATTGTTTTTTAAAAAAATTAAACCAAACAAATATCATTTTGTTATGATTTTTTAGCCCCAAATTTATTTTTTAATTATAGTTATATAATTATATTTATTATTTAATATGTTTTACCTTAAATATTATGTTGTAGTTAATTTGAATCATTTTATTTCACTTTATTTTATGGTTTTTAATTTATATATGTTATGACTTGCTTTAAATATGACTTGTGATATAAAAATTTATTTTTTATTAAATATTTTTGGTATTTTTATTTAATTTTTTAAATAATTATGACGTCGTCCGGTTCTTCCGACCGATCGAACCGGTTCGACCGATTAAACCAGTAAACCGGTAGCATGGCCGGTTCGCTAACCGGTCCGATTCTGAAAATCATGCTCAATAGTTTCATCCCTTGAATCTTTAAGGATGTGATTGTGAGGTTTTTTTTTTTTGCATAAACTTTTAAGTATCTTGAACTGTCAGCAATGATATCATAAATCCTCAGAAATATGTTAACTGCAGTAGCATGGAAAAGCAGGCTCTTGGTGCAATGGACGATCAAAGCAGGAAGCTTGTGTTCATTCCAAAGTAGTATATATACTGCAGAATGGAAAAGGTGAGAACCTGTTGACGAAAGGCACGGAGAATGAGTATGTAACACCCCAACCCGTATCCGATCAGGATACGAGTCCGAAGTGTCACATTGACTTTTCAAAAATTTATTCGTATAAAATAGTGAGTAATTTAAAAACTTTTATAACATTTAAATTATTCAAAACATTTACAAAATTATTCAGAGCTTATACAATATATTCTTTTGATTACATGCCAACTAGAACTTTATATACAAAAATACATATTATTCACCTCTCTTCTGATCTGACATTCGGTAAGAAGAACTGACCTGTCTTGTTCCTCTTTACTTTTCTTTTCGCTTTCCAAACCTACGTGTGAAACAATCACACGCTAAGTCGATGACTTAGTGAGGCATATAAAACATATAATATTTCATATAACATAAAGCATACATAAACATATACCATCATTATCATAATCTCTATCATTATCATTAAGAAACACACATAACATCATATGGTTCATGTAACACATTTCAAACCACTTACCTTTGATAACCATTTATAAACCCATCGTATACATATCAAATTCAGTATGCTTGTTTAATCACTTTATTAGCCCATGTACACTAGTGAGAACTTAAGGTATGTGAGTACATTGAGGTTGTGCACACATATGCTATCACCACAGCTCGATCAATATCCCGAAGGACCAGTCCATAGATTCCGAAGAACCTAGGTAATCAGTCCATATGTCCGAAGAACATAGGTAAACAGTCCATATGTCCCGAAGAACATAGGTAAATAGTCCATAGTCCCGAAGAAGATAGGTAAACAGTCCATATGTCCCGAAGAACATAGGTAAACAGTCCATATGTCCCGAAGAACATAGGTAAACCCTCGACCCTTGGCATGCCAACTATACCCTAGTTCTCATATCACATAACATGGGCATTATCATTTAACAGTTCACATTACTTGTCATTTCTCTTCTGTCACATACCACATGTATGTGTAACAATGTATTCCATATCATATCACATGTATCACGTATTGCCTATTCATATGTCATTTCATATAACATATATCATATGTGCATGTAATCACATAGATCGTATCATATAGCTTCATTCATATCACATATTCATATAAGCTCATAGCTTCTTTCACATATACGTGTAATCACTTAGTCTATTTTCATGTAATTCTTTTCACTTCTCATATGATTTTATATTCATATCTCACATAGCTCATATCACCTTGCATTGTTTCATATAAACATAGATGTCATATCTTGTTCGCATATATTTTCCATATAACTCATATATCTCATATTTCTTTCACATAGCTCACTATCATATTTTCATATCATATATCTTATAATAGATTCTTATATCATCATTTGTTTCCTTTCTACCTATTCATAATCACATTAACATGTAATGCAAGCAATATGTATTAATACATACATGTAATCACATAACTTATACCACATGATTCATGTAGTCATTTAGATCATTGTCTTTTAACACATATCTCATAATCACACAAATCATCACATAGATTACCAATCAAATCACATTTTAGGAGTTACTTCTTACCATAGTAACTCCATCACTAGCTCATCGCAAGCCAATGTTTATTCAATAATATAAGTACAAATTAAATTACACTCACCTTAGCCTTGCTTTGATTCGATTATAATCCTTTGATTATTCCAGAACTTGTTTAGGCTCAATATCTACATAAATATATCATTTCAAAACAACTATCAGAAGCCTAAACTTTAAACTTGATGTTAATAACTTAAACTGGTTTAAT